CGATTGTATCCTCCTGCTTGTCTTCTGTATCTTGGGATTGTAATCGCCTCTGCCGTCGAAGAATTGTACGTGAAGGTAACACTGAACTACTTGCATCAAGGGATACGAAAGACCGAGAAAGGTTTAAGGATCCACTTTCTCTTTTCGTCTTTCCAAAATTGGCCAATTTTGATATATCTACCGCTGCCGATAAAACGCTACTGCCAATCGGTACGACTACCGGCTTCAGTTCATTTTGATCCTCAGTTTTTCCGTCCATTGATCTCATCATAACATTCGTTTTATTATTGTTATATTCATTCATTTTGAATTTCATTTCTTTAGTGAATCCTTGATTGAGAAATGAGTTCAAATTCGCATCCAACAGATATGACACACTATTAGCCGATTTTTTCGTTTGTTCAACTTTTTCTAGGGTCATTGCAGTAGTTGCATCTTTAAGGAAATAATTAGCTTCAATGAAATGTTGTGATTTAGTTAAAGATTTATACACTGCTTCATTTATAAGGAGAATATCACGAACGTCACTATGCGCAACCACGAAAACATTTTCAGCTCTTAAATATTGCGACCCATTATGAGCATGCACTGCCCCCGTGTATGGATGAGGGTTTTTGTTCGCAAAATTCGATTCAGTCGACAACTATTTGGTAGATATGGTTGCCGATCTATCTACATTTAAAACATTTAAAATGGACAATTCTTGAATGGAAAGTACAACTGATTTGAGATTAAAACGCGTATTATTCGGTTCGTCCGCGACGCAGCCATTTACAAAAAGATCCTCATTCAAAGGCAGATCGCGCACTAAATGCTTCTGTTCGAAAGTAGTAAGCGAGAGCTTATTAAATCTGTTTATTTCATTAATAAATACGACATCAAATATTTGCTCTATTTCCTTTCTTCCACCTATCGTTCTCTTTAACGAAGCCGTATTCCCTCGAAATTTTTTTTATTATTTTTACTATTCTCATCTTTTTGTTTTGCTTTGGCAAATTATTCATATTTTTATGAGAAGATTGCGTTCTCGACGTTGATCTTGAATTTTGAATATGTATGCCGAAATGTGGTGGCGGTTCGTCGCCATTTTTTGACTGCCCCGAGAAGATGATATTTTTAGACGCTTCTATTGCCAATACATCGTCATCAAGCATTCATATGTGGATATATATGTTGGTTGTGTTCTTTTTGTTAGCGTGTTTGTGATATTTGTTTGTTTTTTCACAAATAAATGAAAATGGTATACTCAAACTAATACCCCCCTCACATATTTCAACGACGATACTTTCCAACTGCGTCATTATTGATGATAAAATATTATTTTCCTTGCAGCATTCCTCAGATATTACATTTTTCCAATTTTTTATTATGAAACTTAGGTATATTAACAACATTTTGGCGATAAAGTTTAATGTTGTAGAGATATTAAAAAATCTCGTATACTATGGTTTTAAATATTATTTAAAAATAAGCTAAGAACCCCCATTCATTTCAAAGTAGTTTCTCACCGAGAAAATACAATAATATCATTCACTTCACGAAAGTTTATCGGGCTTATGGTATAAATTGTTAATGAATTAACAGCTAATGTTAGCTTTCGCCAACAGTGAAATAAATTCTAACAAATTTCGTGTTCTTTTTTCGTAACTTAGTGTTATCGATGTTAAATTTTATGGAATAATGGTAGAAGTAACGGAATTGTGCTGCCTATAATAAAAATGAATTCCATCTTACTTATGATTTTTAATTGTTTGTTATGTTGTTCAAGCTATCTTAACTTACTTACCATGGGGTCCAACCATAAAACTTAAAATGTAGTAATAATCGTTTTTAAGTTTTTTGTGCCTATTAGAAACTGTCAATTAATCCCGATTATATTATATGTTAATCATTAAAAAATATTGGTAATTTTCTGGATAATAAAGGATTATAAATACACATATTTACACAGTATGTATGTAAATTCAAAGTTATCTACTACAGATTTTAGTTGTGTTAGTTTTTCTTTCTATTTTATTTTCTATTTGAATCACTACTCTTACTTTACTTTTAATAACAGCCAATGTATACAATATATTGGAAGATGTAGTCTAGCGGCTCCCAGTGTGGGTAACAAAACCGCTCATAACAAAGAAATTTTGCGATTTATTACGGAAATATTTGGGGAAATACCTGAACTTGAGAAGGAACTATTGCCCACACCAGTAACAGTTTCAAAAAATGTGATGAAATCCGACACAGTAAGTAAACCACTCCAATTTAAAGCTGAACCAAACCAGGGAGCGCAAACTGAAAATGCACGTCAAATAAAGCCACCTACAAACAAAGAAGAGCCGCCAAATGCTGGAAAGAAATAATATACTGAACGTATACACATTTTGATATCATAGTTAAATATTTTATTGTTTATTAAAAATAGCAGAAGCAAACAACTGTGCTTGTGGGTTATGATATTAAGCGACTTTATAACGAATTACTCTCACGAATATCCCATTATTACTCTCGCATTATAACTTCCTTTTTTTTGCCTATTACAAAGTCAAGTCATAAGGAAAGGAAAACTTTCTGTTAGAAATCAAAGTTCCTTTAGAATAAACAAGTTATGTCAGTCTTGTATCTTATGAGATAAAATAGTAACCTGTGGAGGGCGAGCTTTGGCTACCATTCATAAAATGCATACACCTAACTGCTTTTATACGGCGAAAAGAAAACATTGATCATTCATTCCCCTAAAGTTGTGATACTTACAATTGCTTTGACCAGTAAACTTGGTTGTATCCACAAAAAAGGAATTACTCTAAATTTGTGATATGAACATAGAATTCAATCAGAAAAATTAAATCTGATAAATAAGATTTAGACCAAAATTTTAAATTGTGCTGAATAAAATAATGGGGTGTATACCATTGTTTGTGGTGCTAATGGTTTAGTTCCGTGCATTTGCAATACCAACTTATTAAGGTGTAGTCGATTATAAATATACATATGTACATATTATAAAGCCAACTCAACTTTGTTCCAGTTCCGTTGCACAAGGGTATGGGCATACAAACATTGAGAAAACCATTTTTGTTGTTGTTTTGTGTTACCTACAATTGTTATGTGAACAAAACAAATATTTAAATTGTCGATTAAGTATTGAATCGGTAACAAAAAATATTTTTTTATAATTCTAAATTATTTTAAAAAACTTTTCTTTTATTTATAAGAAATTGGCATTTTTAATAAACTATCTCTAAACTGTTATTATTTGTTCTTATTTTTATTTTTTCAAAATATAATTATTTATGTTTATATAATTATTTATGTTATTACTAAATTTAATTCTTATTATTGAATTTATACAAAGGCGGTCTAACCACAATAACTAACCGGAACGGAAGCGGATTTGTATTCAGCCGGGCTGTCAACTCGGCCGCATTCTTTAATTTACTTCAATAATGTTTTCTGTCGCAAACTAACAAAGACGGAATAACCATTCAACAAGTTGAAAATGAATCATACAGGAAAAAAAGTGAATATGCTATAGAAGTGGATGAAGAAGAAGATATAGATAAACCAAGGTTATTAATTTTTGTAGAAGGCCCGGGTTATAATTTTTTATCAAAACTGCGTTGAAACAATTACTTACACGGATAATAAAATAAAATTATTGGTACAGTACTCGGGCAAAAAGATTTAGCCATATTTTCTCCTTGTCATTAATAAAACAAAATCTTAATTTTTGAGAACGGATACATATGTATGTAAATATTTTTCCTACCATTTTCTGGCAGATACTTTACAATTTTTTAAAAGTAGTAGTARTAGTTTATCAAATAGTATGGTGGAAGTGTACACACTGTTCCCAGGTTCGCAATGTGCGGCGAACGTACTATAAAAACAGCTGATTACATGTTATTTACGCGTCTTAGGTGTTGTATGAAGAAGTACTGTTCACGCATTATTTTATCAATTGTTCTAGAAATCTTCAAATTATTTTAATCTTTAATCCTTTAATAATGTTTGGATTAATAATTTCTGGGCGTTTGGTGAGTAATCTCGGTCACTCAACACGGTGTTGAAGTATGTTATGCATAATTACATGATATGTACTTTGTACATATTTATTTTCTACCATAGCCGCAAACTGACTTCACGCCGGTAGATGAAAATAAAGTCGTAATAAATGTGCCAGACATAGATCATGTAAACTATATTGTAGTATTTTTAACTGGGTTGACAGCACTTCCTGAAGGAACAGCAGCTGCGGTTTACTTTAGCTGGCCTGATGCAAATTCAGCTCCTACATGGCAATACCTGGGACACATATCCAACGCTAAGCCGTCAGCGATTTTCAAAATATCCCAGCTGAAGAAAAGTCACGAATTGGAAGCGGCGGAGCATGGAATGATTTTTGGTGCACAAGAGATTTCCCACACAGCGCAAATAGGAATATCCGTCGAGCCGGAACTTACAATTACTCAGTTGACACCAGCGGTGGTAAGTGAAAAATTATCATTAAAAGCAATATTAATTGAGAGAAAATAACCATGCGTCGTAACATATAACAATATGATAAAATTTCCACAGCAAAATGCAAATGCAAATCTGCAGTTCAGCCAGAAGATGTTAGAAAATTTTTTCAACTATGCGTCCAGTTTTACGGTGTCTCCGCAGCAAATCCCTCCATTAAGTAATGAAACACTTGTACCTCTCTCAACGTTGCAGAATTGGTACACAAATTTTCAAAGACGGATGGCTCAAAACCCAAATTTCTGGAAGTATTGATTTCAAATTTATTTGCGCCCGCCAAAATATACATTCGTAATTTCTGTAAACACCTGGATATGTATTCAATTGTGAGTTATGCTCATGTATTGGAAAAAAACGAAAAATATTCTCTTGGAACTTATTTTATTAAGCTGTGTTTTCTTTAATAATTAAAATAAACCCATAAATGCGATGTTTTTCAATACAGTACCGAAATAAGAATTATGAATGCAATGGCGAAACTTAATTTTATATTTAATTTATAATATCGAAAACATTAAAGAAATTTTACTAATAAAATGACAATTTTATAAATAGCGGTATATAAACATACCAAATACTTCCATTTGGAAGTATTACATGTTCACTCAACCAAATATTTTCTAATTATATGCATTTGCTAAATACATAATTACGCAGACTTTGTTAACGACTAACAGTGTTATAAAGAATTCGTATTTTAACTAATATTCATTTGAAATTATAATTTAGGTCAACATTTACCAATGACTAGAACAGTTAGAGACTTGGGATTCATGTTTCTTTTTAATGGTTGCATCCATTGTAGCCAGATACAAAGTCTTGTTACACTGAAAAAAATTCACTGCAAAGCTTCTCATCCAGATTTGGTTTCTCTGGAGGAATGTAACATATTAGACATGGTCAATGAAAGTAAAGTACAGACGTTATGTTACTTTAAGGAGAAACCGATTAATCAAGTTAATGGATGTATATAATGGAATTCCATGTGTAACGTTTTTCAGATGTTTATATTTTTGTAGTTGCGTATGAAATCTTATGTGAAATGTGCAATAGGATATGTGCCGTTTGATATCGATATAACTGTGGATTGGTGTAAGTTTCTAATTAAGCGCAGCATTATCATTCTGGAACGATTATTTGGTTTGGTTGAAAAATATTCGAATACGCACACGAAATGCCCGATTGCAGTAAGCTCTTGCGTGAGTGCAGTTATTTTTTTATTATCTAATCATTTTTTTACTTCATAGGAATCTTTTATTTATTTTAACGTTTCTATAGATAAGGACAGAGGCTTTCATCTGCCATTTAAATTTCCCGCCGGAGATTATCGTATTGATTTTATAACTACATTTAATACAGTTATTCACGTTGTAACTTACCTTTACTTGGAAGTTGAATAAAGTTGACCTAACATATCTAATCAAATATCGTGTAACCGGTGATTAACCATGTAATAAATAGTGATGGAAATATTAAAAATATCCTTTAAAACAAATTCATATACATATGTACATATATACCGCATATTCAATATCCCAAGGTTTTAAGGGGGTTTTATACTTCACTAGAAATTCGAACGCGTCACTGAAGTAGAGAAGAAAAACGGCCACGTACTCGTCGTTACAATTTCTACCTTTGTGAACATTTAAAAAATGAACCAATGACTGATATTTAGTTAGTATGCTCTAACATCACAATTTATTATACTAGAGCTTGAGATATCGTGACGACTGCAAAGAAGAACGCATGCTCTCTAAAATAGATTTTCAAATGAATGTACCACCTATTTTATTTTCGATATATTAAGATGATATTAATGCACTGTGCACATGTAAATACAAATAAGGAATTTATAGTATCTTTCAGGGGAGCAAGTATTGGATATTAAGAGAGTTTTAGGATGCTGGAAAACTGTTATACCCACAAGCACAAATTGACTGGTATAACATAAATTAAGGCGCGCTGTGGAAGTCAGTATCAACGCTCCCTTTAACGGTTCTTAACGCTTTGCTCATAGTTGGACTGTAAACTAATAATTAACAAATAATTCAAAGGGTCAATGATTTAATGATACTAAAAGCCTAATTTGGGAAGTGGATACATGTTGTTTAAGAAAGTGAAAGTCTGTCATTGTGGAGATTTGAGCAAATCAAGGGAACAGTGTTTTAGTCTGTAGTATGTGCGTACATACATATTTCGTTTGTGTACACATCTCGGCTTTAGAACAATCGATTCAGAAATATATGGAACAAGTTTTAAGCTAATGACAATGTCCACATAATACTATGCAAATAATACGTTTTGGTGTTTTTAGTAGTCAACAACAAATGGTGGAAAATGGTTGTATCATAGTTCATGCCCAACGATTTACTTCGATACCATTGCGTATATGCTAAGATGTGTACTTATGTCCTATATGTATATACATATGTAAAATGTGAATACAAAATGGAAATTACCTTCATTCAGCAAATTGAAACTTATATACAAAAAGCATAATTGCAGAAACAAATTCTGGTAAATATACATACTAAATGAAAAAATATGTACTCGTAAAATTTTACTAAGGCAAACTTTAATACAATATTTTACAAAGCATATTTTTTCATAATTAAACTTCGTTTCTTTCTTTAAGTTTTTGTGACATTGTAAGGGTTTTTTGTAGGTTTTAGATCTGGTATTTGGTCTTCCCATTCCATTTTTTATCACCAATTATATGACTAACATTACCCATTGAGATCCGGTTTTGGTTAGGACTATATTATTCTAATATAAAGAATATTAAATTATAGAAAATATGTTTTTAATAACGCTTTAGCAGATCTGGATTTTCCTGTTTTAACCTTCTATTATAAATATGTAACATTTAAATAAAATTATATTAATAAATGGTTTTACGCACTCAGAATGAAATCTAAAATGAACTCACTGCATTGCTCACTGCCTAGTAGATAAGTGTATGTACATACATATATATGTATGTATTTGAAGATTTGCTTTGAAGTATAGAACACGGATCGCGATGTTTGCTTCTCACATGTCAGATAATTTGCTTTGACTGGGTAGTAAAATTTTTGAAAGCATTACAATATAAGATACATACATATGATAACTTCAAACAGCCATTTCCTTTACCGCCCTATTCCAATTCCAAGAGCATTTAATTTTTTTTCTTTATCTCCGATACATACCATAAATAATAAAATATATACAAAGCTTAAAGTGATTTTATTTTTCAAATGCAGGGTTTTTACTTGTGCTCTTGGTAAGGTTAGCTGAGTATCTAAACCCTGCGTAGAGAATAGCGTAATCTGCTTAGATGACGTCGGACCATATGGAGATGGGTTGGTTAGTGTCACCCGTGGATTTTTGGAAATATATGAAGGATATAAAATAAAACTAAAAGAAGTTGCTAATTTGTCAGAATCGCCCAAATCGGGCCACAAATATACAAAATAAAAGATCAATTTAAAATCTGTATCGAATATTTTTTTTCTTTGACAAGATGTCTTCACAAAATTTGACATGAATTAAGGTTCAAGACAATATTTCTGTCACACAAATTAAACTATAAAGTTTCTGTATGGAAAACTTTTTTACTTGACATCTCTACAATCTTAAATTTTATCAATATTCATTATGAAATCAATTCACCAAATATAATTTACAATGTAATGGACAATTTACGTCTTCCCTGAAAAACATAATATTATATTTAACAATACATTCTAGTAAAGCATAGCTTTAGCGGTCAAAAACTTCTAGGTTTTTGTTATAACTATAAACACAAAAAGGTGATAACCGCTATTATAGACGTATGTACTTATGTATATACATAAATTGAGGTAATGTGTACTTTTAACTTAATTACCTCGAATAATTGGTCATGCAGCAGTTTACACCTTAGTTACAAAGTAAATGAACCGAAACTCTTAGACTGTATTCTCTTTATTTCTGTTTAATATACATACATATGTACTGCTTTTGGAATGGCCTTCATGAACGATGAGTTTAAGTTTTATTTTAGTTCTTCGTTTTGAATATAAAAACGTGTAGGTTGCTCTCTAACTCTCACCACGTTTATTTCTTGCAACTTTAATATAACTTAAGGTTTAATGGTCCATCTTAATAGGAATATCCCGTGAACATCTAGTAGTACTAGAACTCCTATTAAATTGTTCATAAATACCCCTAAAAATTGACGAAGCGCTTTGAGTCGATCACAAAATTATTGAGGCGGCTAATCTTCTCTGTTATTTTCTATATATTAAAAAATTAAAACAAAAAAATGGAAACAAAATTTTTATTCACTTAAGCAAGATTTCTCAGTATCCATTTACTAGTTTAAATGTTTTGATTCTTTTGAAAATAGATTGTAAGTCTGATCTATATTTTTGTCACATAATTATATAATTCTTTAAACTACCCACAGCGAAATTCTCTTTTCTAATATACAAAATGTGTATTATTTATTAAGCATCTGATCAACTAAATTTACGGCAAAGCTATCGCATTTCTTTTATTGTTGAATAAATGTTCATGGTTCTTAAACGATTCGTGGCGTTTTAACCACTCGTGCCTTTTACCCTGTACCCGTATATCCCTGGGTTGTGTGTTCGTTACAACTTATTCATATTAATTTGATGGTCCATAACATCATAATCATAAATAAGTATATTTGTATATTGCTTTTCAATTTTTCTCTAGCATGACCATCATCTGATTGAACTTCCAACTATTGAATGCGAAACAAGCCAAAAACAACTTGCTACCTCGTAAATGAGTGGTACATCTCCATAAGGATTATAGAAATGCAACAAGTAGTAAATTTTTTTGCTTCTCGAGAACTGAACCGCCGAGAACGTTAAACAAATTGGTTGTGATTTTCATTATGTATTATATATTGGTAAAACTTTATATTAAAATTATTGCTAAAGAATTCAATATGTCATTATATGATGGAACCGTGAATGAATTAACTCATAATAACGTCATATAAATTCAACCGAAGAGGCTAAATTGAATATGAGGCTATAAACCACACCATTCTAAAGAAAATGTGTCCACTGACTTTCTTTGAAGTGATTGTGGTCGCATTTTATCAATTATTCGCAATGTAATATAAGAATATCAGGTCAATGATATGAACAAAATTTAATTGAAATTGGTATAGTAGTCCTTAGATACAGAAAATCAAGTAGGTCAAGGTTTTATAATAGGAGTAACATAGTTTAAAAAAACAAAAAAAAAAAAAACACACACACTAGCTGTAAAGAAAATCAGATGTTTTTTATTTAGTGTGAAGTACAATCGATAAAATTAAGTTCTGAATATAACATCACTCAAATGTTTTCCCCGGCTTTTGCAGCAATAAATTCGATGCATCTAATTTTCGAGTAGTTTTTCCTCTAAATGAAGTCACGAATAGCGCGTTCAATATTGACTTCCAAAACTTATTGCTAAAAATCTATGAATTATCGGATAAGATGATTTTCTTTAAAAAATCGTTATCGTTTTCAAGTTGTTGCACGGAAACTGAGCAAATTCACGACGTTGACGTTGGTTCAATTTATTCGGATGCAAGCATAAATCCTTGCTCAAAATCCACTAGGTTGTGGTTTGAGACAGTTCCAATTATTGAGAACGTCTTGGAATCGACAAATTGCGGTCTTCAGTAACACTTGCCTGAGCGGTACTAATATTTTCATTACTTCGAACGGTTCTTTGTCTTATAGAGTCTTGAACATTATGTAAAGAAAATGTTCACAAAGGCGCAAAGTTGTAACTGGGGATTGATTATTTTGGTAATAAAATTTAATAATTTGTCAACGTTGTTCTTGTGTATATCTATCTATGATAAAAATGTAAACATTACTGAGTTCAATGAATAAGTTAAATATTATTAGGTATTAAAAATGGCCGAAACGACACCTAGAAACCATATCATCCTTATTGGAACACCCGGTTTTTTTTTAACAGATTGTTGCATTGTTGACGGAAACATTCAAGGAACACAAGTATTTCTAAAGAGAACGGAATAGTATTGTAGTCGAACAGTTAACAGTGTTTTGCAGAGCACATTCAATTTACAGCAACTCACGATGGGTGGTCACATTAAAGAGATTTGAGATGTATAACAGTTCCGTTTATAATATTGAACAGTTGAGCAAGGTAACATGCAATGCGTCGCTCTCAATAGTATTCATGTTTTAGTACATTTTTAGGAGTTTCACCTGGAAAAAATGAGCAATGGTGAGGTATTCACTAAGTGTGTTATTAAAGACACGTGCTCTATTATATAAGAAAGTATTAATGTTAAAGCGTTGTTCAAGAGAGGTCAACTTCACCAACCACCATTAATAGATGCTCGATAAAATAATAACAATTTAGTTCAGTTTGAAGTAATATGTATCAAATAATCTCCA